TGATTTCAGCATGTCAAGCTGAAGGCACCAAACATGCTTGATTTAACTAAGCATAACTGATCAAATCTCTCATTTTGAATATTTCATGTATAATGAAAATTTTTTACAAAAGGTTTGGCATTTTGAACTGAGTGGCCATATTAGATATTTCTTCATGAGCAAAGGTCCTCTGCTTATAAGGTACATCTTCATATATTCATGTATACAATCTGTTGAAAAGAAATTTGGATTTAGAGACCTTGCAAATAGGAAATAATAAGAGGTATCATAAAAAAATTATAAAAATTTGAACTAAATCTGTCAACAGGTACAGATCGTATGAACAGACCCATGAATGGACAGATGGACGAAGGATGGCATTGCTATAATCCACTGAACTTTGTTTGGGGCAGGATAATAAAATGAATTGAATCGTAACATTGCATTCAAACACATATATAACAGAATATTATAAAAACTGTATGCCTTCAAAAATTCAAAAGATTATTAATGTTTTTTTACTTTTATGACTTTAAAAAACCTGAAGAACACATTAAACATTAATTTAATGCGAATGCTGAGGAGTTAGCGGACCCAAAATATATAATCGCTATCATCACATGAGTTATAATCATGCACCGACCAAAAGTTACAAATGTTATCTAAAAAGGACAATTTAGTAATCGTAATACTGCAGAAGACATTGCAAAGTAGCTCATTCTAGTATAGCAAAAGAAATAGATATTATAGAACATGAACACATGGAAATAACTGATCACTAGGAAAATTAACATTAATTGGGATGAAAAATAATATCTGATTAACTTACTTAAGATTTGATATTAAAACTGTAACTTGCACCACTATACTATTGACCGCACAAAGATCAAGCACCACACTGGTTCACAGTTGACTACAGAGCGAACAATGGCAGCAGCTGACAAGATGAAGGTATTTACAGGGTGGGCCAAAAATGTCTACATTTTTTTGCTACAACCTTGCAGATATTACAGACAAATGTATGAACTATATATCATTGGACATACAATTCAATTCCCAACAAAATACATAATTCATTCAATAGAAATGAGTATTTGTTTACCACAGGGGTCAAAATCATGATTTGCCAATTACTGAATAAATAATGCTGAGAATTGACCAGACAGATACAGCCATAATGAGTAAGTTTTGGGAGGGTCAAAATTGTTGATTTATGTTTAAAATTAAAGCAAATTGATTTACAAATGCAATATCATTGAGATCTGTTACCAGTTTGATAGTAATATATGGTAATATAGCTTAAATAATGTAATGAAGTCTGTATCAAATAGTTGGATATTTACTCATTTTCAAGACATTTAAGAGATGACTTTTTAAGACTAAAATTATCATGAAATGGGCAATAATGATGTTGTACTATCAGTTATCACACGTTTCAGCATGTGATACAGGAAATATTCCACGAAAGGTAATACTATATCATCCATGAAAGCGAAGCTTGAGTGGTGATACATTGTATCCCGAGTGGAATATTTCGTGTATCACATAAGCTTTCTTTAAAAATATAAAATGTCATCACTGGTTGCCTCTAGTAACGTGTGAGACGGCCATGTGAGATGGGAAAACTCACAAGGTAACCAACCAATCAGATTGATGGAATATTACATAGTATGTGTATATTATAAAACTAAACTGACATTTTAAATGGCAGACAATGTAAGTAAAGACACCAACAGAAGAAATAATAGATATTTTTCCATATAATGGGCTATGGCATTATTTCAACTGAGTTTCTTTGCAAAACATGTTTGAAACAAATATCAATATTATCGAACCATGTAACTTTATAAGGAGCTACAATAAATAAAAATAGGTTCTATGATTATTTTAGAGCTATAAAATGATTCACAAACAATAAAATTGAACTCCAATACGTTTTCTTTACACGTAAAAGCTTAAAAGTGTTGACTAAGCAATGTAATATTATGCAGTTATATAGCAAACTCTTGTTTTCAACAGTAAAAACTCATAATATGGAGAATCTCATGGAGTCATCAATAGTCATTCATATTCTATGAATCATACATCATTTTGTTTGAAATTGAATTAACTTTCCAATGATATATGATTTATGAATATTTCAAACATAACAGCAAAGATATTACAAAAATAAAAATGTGGACGTTTTTTTAGCCCACCTTGTACAAAGGCAACTTTTCATAAATGTTACAGTAAAATATAGGTTCATAACTTAACATGGCAAACAGAATTAAACTAGTCTGATAATTCATTTAAGATCCCAGATTCCACCATTGAGGTCTTCTTCAATAGGCCTTTTTAATCTTTTAAAAAAATAATGTTAACATTTTTGTCTCCTCTGACAGACCAGTTTCACAGTTCACATTTGCAACTGCTCCATCACAGCAGACAACAAATATAAATATTATTTTTTATAAAAGTACTAAAAAGACCTAATACATCAACATCTCATACCTTCATAGTTATGCTGAAAACATATTAAATATTTTGTGTCAGTATATCGTGCCAGTATAAAGTCAAACAAGAAATGGTACATTTTGGAGTATGATACTTCGGCGCCATTTTGAATAGCTCTTCCTCTTAGCGTTATGGAACTTCAATCAGAAGTGAAAGTTACCCGCAATGATATATCCATTGCATGGAGTAAGTAATTTTCTTTGGTATAACGAAACATATGATTTAAAAATAAATTGTGTGGTTTTCTTAGTGTTTTTATGAAAAATAACATGCTCTGTCACAGCAGACAAATCTTTCAATACCAGCCTGTGACACAGGGTAATTTTGTTTCATATTCTTTAATTATCATAGCAGAATATATAACGGATAGCACTTCTACTAATTTTTTTTAAAAGACCTTATTTAGCTTTAATGTCCTGTTAAAGAACCCCTATAGTTCTTACTATTGAAAATGGATTCTACCAATACTCTCCCACATTAATCTATTCGTTGAGATTGATCAACTTGTGTTCTTCTGAGATAATGAGGATTTCAGGCTGGATGCCATTGACTTAAAAATGGGAATGCCATTGACTTAAAAATGGGGATGCCATTGACTTAACAAGGCATTAACATGACAAAATGTCACCACCTAAAACAATTTGGTCAATTTAAAGCAAGTTGGAAAATACCTTTTGACCTTAAGAAGGTTTGATTTGAACTTCTTAGAACATGTAGATGATTTTGAAAAAAAATTCGTCAATTTGAAGCAAGTTGAAAAAATACCTCTTTGACTTTTTTTGACATTGAGAAGGTCATTGAAGGTCAAATGTCAAATCTAAAGTCAGATTTGAACTTCTGAGAACATGTAGATGATTTTGAAAAAAAAATTAGTCAATTTGAAGCAAGTTGAAAAAAGACCTTTTTGACCTTGATAAGGTCATTGAAGGTCAAATCTAAAGTCAGATTTGAACTTCTGAGAACTTGTAAAGTCAAATTTGAACTTCTGACGAGATGTAGATGATTTTGAAAAAAAAATATGGTCAATTTAAAGCAAGTTGAAAACAGACCTTTTTTGACCTTGAGAAGGTCATTAAAGGTCAAATGTCAAATTTAAAGTCAGATTTGAATTTCTGAGAACATGTAGATGATTTTGAAAAAATAAATTAGTCAATTTGAAGCAAGTTGAAAAAAGACCTTTTTGACCTTTTTTGACATTGAGAAGGTCATTGAAGGTCAAATGTCAAATCTAAAGTCAGATTTGAATTTCTGAGAACATGTAGATGATTTTGAAAAAAAATTTAGTCAATTTGAAGCAAGTTGAAAAAAGACCTTTTTGACCTTTTTTGACTTTGAGAAGGTCATTGAAGGTCAAATGTTTAATCTTAAGTCAAATCTAAAGTCGATGATTTTGAAAAAAAAAATTAGTCAATTTGAAGCAAGTTGAAAAAAGACCTTTTTGACCTTTTTTGACATTGAGAAGGTCATTGAAGGTCAAATGTCAAATCTAAAGTCAGATTTGAATTTCTGAGAACATGTAGATGATTTTTAAAAAAAAATTAGTCAATTTGAAGCAAGTTGAAAAAAGACCTTTTTGACCTTTTTTGACTTTGAGAGTCAGATTTGAATTTCTGAGAACACGTAGATGATTTTGAAAAAATTTTTTAGTCAATTTGAAACAAGTTGAAAACAGACCTTTTTGACCTTTTTTGACCTTGAGAAGGTCATTGATGGTCAAATGTCAAATCTTAAGTCAGATATGAATTTCTGAGAACACGTAGATGATTTTGAAAAAAAAATTTAGTCAATTTGAAGCAAGTTGAAAACAGACCTTTTTGACCTTTTTTGACCTTGAGAAGGTCATTGAAGGTCAAATGTCAAATCTTAAGTCAGATTTGAAGGTCAAATGTCAAATCTAAAGTCAGATTTGAATTTCTGAGAACATGTAGATGATTTTGAAAAAAAATTTAGTCAATGTGAAGCAAGTTGAAAAAATACCTTTTTGACCTTGAGAAGGTCATTGAAGGTCAAATGTCAAATCTAAAGTCAGACTTGAACTTCTGAGAACATGTAGATGATTTAGAAAAAAACTGAAGTCAGTCTAAACAGTATTTGTTAAGTTGTAGGAAGTTGTAAGAAATTGTTACAGACGCCGGACGCCAACCTCCAACCGCCGTCGCAAAAAAACGGAGACCATAACAATATGTCACCACTTTTGGTGGTGACATAAAAATGGGAATGCCATTGACTTAAAAATGGGGATGCCATTGACTTAAAAATGGGGATGGAATTGACTTTAATCCTGCATATCTACATTCACAATATACAGTTCATTCACTCAAATAACAAGTATGACGATAAAAATTCTAGTTCATAATTTCTGAGGCAAATCCTGAAGATGTTCACACACTTTTGAACCTACATATTCTGATTCTATACAATCAAAACAAATATGCCTACCACATCGTAGCCGATATCAGGTAAAATAAAATACATATTTTCTTGTCAATAACATCACCATGCTAACTTTTTCACTTGATTCTTTCAGAATATGGTATGGAAGATTATTGTGATGTCGATCATGTACCAAGTGGCTTTCCAATACCCTGCTGTTAAAGAACTAAGTCTAAGCAATAAGATACTTACAAAAATAACAAGAGACACATTCAAGGAATCTCAGCAAAAGCACAAGCTGTATCTACAAGACAATAACATAAGTACTATTGAAGAAGGTGCATTCACTGGTTTGGAATCATTGGAACAATTAGTTCTGAGTTCTAATAAACTGACAAAATTACCAAATGATATATTCAGTAAGTTAGCAACTCTGAAATATCTTAACCTTTGCTATAATGGACTAACAACAATACCAGATGGCACATTCAGTGATTTGACATCACTGACCAGCCTTGACCTTTCCTTTAATGAACTGAAAACATTACCAGATGGCATATTCAGTAGCTTGACATCGCTAACCACCCTATATCTTAGTGAAAATAAACTTACAACATTACCAGATGGCGTATTCAAAGGCTTGACATCACTGGCACAACTTCACTTGAGCAATAATGACCTAACAACATTACCAGATGGCATATTCAGTGGCTTGACATCATTGATACAACTTCACCTTAGCTATAATGATTTAACAACATTACCAGATGGCATATTCAGTGACTTAACATCCCTGGCATATCTTTTCCTTGACTCTAATGACCTAGCAACATTACCAGATGGCATATTTAGTAAGTTATCATCCCTGGATTACCTTTACCTTGACTCTAATAACCTAACACTATTACCAGATGGCATATTCAGCAACCTAACATCACTAACAAAACTTTTCCTTGACTCTAATAACCTAGCAACATTACCAGATGGCATATTCAATAACTTGACATCACTGACCAGACTTGACCTTGACTATAACAAACTAACAACATTACCAGATGGCATATTCAATAACTTGACATCACTGACCAGACTTGACCTTGACTATAACAAACTAACAACATTACCAGATGGCATATTCAGTGGCTTGACATCATTGATACAACTTCACCTTAGCTATAATGATTTAACAACATTACCAGATGGCATATTCAGTGACTTAACATCCCTGGCATATCTTTTCCTTGACTCTAATGACCTAGCAACATTACCAGATGGCATATTTAGTAAGTTATCATCCCTGGATTACCTTTACCTTGACTCTAATAACCTAACACTATTACCAGATGGCATATTCAGCAACCTAACATCACTAACAAAACTTTTCCTTGACTCTAATAACCTAGCAACATTACCAGATGGCATATTCAATAACTTGACATCACTGACCAGACTTGACCTTGACTATAACAAACTAACAACATTACCAGATGGCATATTCAGAAGCATGACATCATTGAAGAATCTGTTTTTACAAAATAATACACTTCAAGAAGTCCCATCTGATGTATGTTTGTACATGCCAATGCTAACAGAACTAGATTTAGATGGAAACAACATACCTGAAATACCTGCTGAATACATTAATGATTTGACCACAATAAGGGCTCATGCCTGTTAAGATATACAAGTACTAGTATAGCTGAGTAAATAAGGGCTTCAAAGTTTTTTCCTTATTCTTATATGATATGTGATGTCACAAAAATTCAGTAGAACAATTTATTTTAAAATGTGCTTTTTTATGATTTTATGTGATAATGAATAGCACATTTATTATCTTCACTAAATCTGCTACAATGTTTGTTAAGTGGTGTTTTGCTGGATTGAGCCTTTGACCAATTCGGTCCTCATCTCCATGTGATTGTGAAGGTTAAAGGCAGATGCATAGAACATTTGTATAATAAATAATTAGTACTGTATAACATAATACCATAGTGACTAAATACTGATAAACAACTGATGAACAATTGAGCATTAATATTCAAACATCTGACAAAAAAATTTAAGTCAGTATCACTTAAGTATTTGAATGGTAAAATATGCCTATCCTTAAGTTTCTGTAATTTATTTTATGTCAATACCATAATGTCATGATACTTTTCTCGCCTTCTAAAAAAGTTAAAATGTTTTTTGGCACACCCTGTATATGAACTCAGATTTTATTCTAGCCATTGCCAAAGAACTTAATTGCTATGCGATATTGGTCTTTAAACAATGATCAAAATAAAACATTTCCTTCTAGCACTATGAAGAAAGCTAATTAAGTTTGAAAGTAACATAGTATTACTAACTTAGCATATGTAAAAATTATAAAAATTACAAGAAATTTAAGTTTTCTTTTTTTCCATCCTCATTATTTGAAATGACTGAAAAACTGAAAATTTTTGTTACCGATCTTGGATTCTCTGCTTGAGCACTAATTGATGAAATTAAATATTTTGATATATCAAATCATACTATGATCAAAATAAAAAATTGATACAATAAAAAGTGAGTGTATCTAATGTATCACAGCCAGGGGGGTATCGTAGCCAGGGGGGGTTCGCATGGTTCGGGCGAACCCCCCCTGGCCAAAAATTCTTTCAAAATCATGCAGTTTTTCACCATTTTGAGCACTTCTCTTGTGATTTTAGCCATATTTGGGCCAAAATTGTCAAATGTGAACCCCCCCTGGAAATTTTTGAAAACTGAACCCCCCCCCTTGGAAAATCCTGGCTACGGGCCTGTTATAGGTTAATGTATATATATGATAGAGGTAAAAGGTACTACATTTACAAACTTTTGACTGACGATTGTTACTATGAGTCTCAATTTGAGTCAAGTAGCAAAACTCTGTATATAGTGCTTTATCTCATATAGGTGTAGCTGGGGGGGGGGGGGGAGTTGTCCCTCATATCCTTCATAACCAACAATAAAAATAGAACCATTATAGAAGAAGAAAAAAGCTTTAAAATGTTTTTCATTTGAAGCTCTAGCTCAATTTTGAAGGAAACATCATTTTTCTAAAATTCAAAACAAATCTTTAAAAAAAATTGTTTTGCTTTGCTTATGCCACGACCACACCCCCCCCCCCCCCCCAATGAAAACCCCCAAAATTGGCAATCTCACCCCCCTGACTGAAAGGTGGCTACGCCCCTGACTAATATGGTTTAAAACCTGTATACGTGTATTTTATTGAAACTGTATATTCTATGTCTCCAAAAAGTAATATTTTTCAACTTGCTATGAATAAACTGTTTTGTTTCTACTGTGAATATCACAGTAACTATGGAATGAATTACTGTATTTTATATATTATATGTACATTATTATTTGTATTATAAATATGTATTATAAATCTTTTCTTGCAAAACATTGCAAAGAAATACAGTATAGTCATAGTTTTAGTTTTAGTATTAGTATAACTGACATGCAATGACTTTAAAGTCATAATGTATTTCCAAGTAATAAATATTTTTCTTATTGGACATTACATAGAATGTTTGTATTTATACATACATACTTTATATATACAGGGTGTCCCGAAAGTATGGGGCCCCCCTAGGCAGACATATACCAGTGTTTTTATAGTATGTGTCATATATCATTTTAAAGCTTATCCAAAGTTACATTGATTTGCCAAGAATCATGGTTCAACTCTCAAATGTGAAAAAATTACAGGCATTTTAAAATTTAGTGTATGGCAAAAATTAAGTTTAATTTTACACAAAATCACTGGCCAATGTGTTCTCCCGGGCCATCTAAACAGCAGCAATTATTTTCGTGTCAGATGGATATTGAGTTGGAAAACAATAGATACTCCAAGAAAACTCTTCTAAAGTGCCTTAATAGGTTTTAAGAGGATTACAAAATTCCACTGCCTTATTTGAAGGGCTTTTAAGGTCATATCTGAAAAGAATTGCTGCTGTAACATGGCCAAGAGAGGACACATTGACTACTAATGTGGTGTACAATTGAACTTTATTTTGGCCAAACACTAAATTCTAAAATGACTGTAACTTTTTCCCATTTGTGAGTTGCACCATGATACTTTGCAAATCAATGTAACTTTTGATAAGCTTTAAAATGATATATGACACATACTATGACGACACTGGTATATATCTGCCTAGGGGGGGCCCTATACTTTCGGGACACCCTGTATATATATTTATTCAGTATTTTAAAGAAATTATGTGTTAATAGTTTAAGTATAATAAACAAGTGCTGGTCAACATAACCAGTGCATTTTGATGCGGAATGACAAATTTTGAATTTTACAAGTCCATTTGACCAGTAAGGGATACTTCCTCAGGGCCTACATATTAGGGCTGGCATGGAATGGAACGGAATCGGAACGGAATTCGGAACTTGGCTTATTTACTTACTTACTTACCTTATTTAAAATAGTTCCTACTTCCCCCCTTAAGTTCTCATTTTTGTTACAATTGGAACAGCAGTGTACAACTATATATACATAAGTTGTATTATGTTTATTAAATACAAACACTAACACTATCTAACTGCCAGAACAAGTGGCATAAATGTTCAAAACTAATGGCAAAATGTTAATGTCCTTGCCTTCTTGGCACCTTGGCATACAACTGGGTTAACCCAACCAATTGTAATAACATGCGTATTCCCATACAAATGATCTGTCTTCTAGAGAAAACTAAGATTTGTGGACATGTTTTGCTATCATTTCATCATACCCCAGTATGTTCTCTGTCAGTGACATGTTTTTTACAGAATGTTTCCAATGATTGGTTCAAGAGAAAAACATTGTTGAATTCAGTTCTCCATATCGATACCAATCCTTTGAATCAAATTCGTCTACCGATATTTGAGTTATCACCTGGACAGATGAACTAACTAACCCATCCACCAGCCCACCCACGCACCAACCGCCCACCAACGAACCAACCAACCAACCAACTTACTAACTAACTAACTTACTAACTAACTAAACCCACCCACCCACTAAGCAACCAACCAAACAACAAACCACCTAACTAACGGATGTACATCTTTCCTATCTCCCACGAACCTAATTGGTTGGGATAATTAATCAGATCACTCATGTTGAATATTTCAGCATATTGAATGGACAGATGGACGAAGGAAGGCATTTCTATATTCGACTGAACTTTGTTTGGCAGGATAATAATATAAATTGAATCGTAACATTGCATTCAAACACAAACAATAAAAAACATATGCTTGGAAAACTATCAAAGGAATTTTTTTATGTTTTTAACTTTTATAACTTTAAATATTACCTAAAGGTCACATGGCACACACATTAATTTAATTTTAATGCTTAAGAGCCAAATAAATGAGATGAACATAAAACTGCTTTCGCAATATAAGTTATAATTAAGAACCGACCACAAGTTACGAGAGAAAAAACTATATTAAAAAGAGCAATTCAGCGATCATACTTCAGCAGACATATCTAAAAAGAGCAATTCAGCAATCATACCTCTGGAGACTTTGCAAGGTAGCACATATTTTTTTCTAGTATAGCAAAAGAAATATATATCATTGCAAATAAACACATTGAAATAACTGATAAATAGAAAAATTAAAATTGGGATGAAACTTCATATATACGATATATTCATATCATTGAAGGTTTGATTAATAAAACTTTAATTTGCAGCACTTTACAATTCACAGAACAGATATCAAGCACAATAGTGATTCACAGTTGACTACAGAGCAAACAATGGCAGCAGCTGACAAGATGATGAAGGTATGTACAGTCAAAACATGGGATCTCTTAAAAGTGAAAGGGGTTTTCCTCAAAGGTAACTTTTCATAAATGTAACAGCAAAGTAAATGTTCATAACTGAATGAGATTTTAATCACTTTTCAAATAGTTAACACCAAGAAAAATATTTAAAATAAAGAGGGTCTGAATGACAGAACAAATGGACAAACAAATATCAAAATAGATTTTTGAGTAGATGTCCTATTACTGCTTTAAAAGTTCTTATTTATGGGTTATAACATTTCATACACCCATGATTTCAAAGCTGAATTGATACTTTCAGAATGTGTTACTGAAGACTCTAGTGATGTTCATCATGTACCAAGTGACCATCCAATCCCCTGATGCCACAGTGCTAGATATGAGCAGAAGAGGCCATACAAAACTAACAGAAGGCATGTTCAAGGAATATTCCAATCTTAAACGTCTCTATCTGAATGATACTGTTATTACTCAAATTGAACCAGGTGCTTTCTCTGGTTTAGAATCATTGGAAGAACTGTATTTGGTTAATAATACTCTGACAAAAATACCAGATGGAATATTAACTAACTTGGCATCACTGAAAACTCTTTATATTTCCAAAAATAAACTATCAACATTACCAGTTTGCATATTCAGTACCCTGACATCACTGACCAGACTTATCCTTGCCAATAATGAACTACGAACATTACCAGATGGCATATTTAGTAGCTTGACATCATTGACCGTTCTTTCCCTCGCCAATAATAAACTAATAACAACATTACCAGATGAAATATTCAACAGCCTGACATCATTGACTGGTCTTTTCCTTCACTCTAATGACCTAACAATACTACCAGGAAACATATTCAGTAAATTGACATCACTGACCAGTCTTGACCTAGGCTTAAATGACCTAACAATATTACCAGTTGACATATTCAATAGCTTGACATCACTGACCAGTCTTGGCATTTACCATAATAGATTAACAACATTACCTGTTGACTCTAATGACCTAACAATACTACCAGGAAACATATTCAGTAAATTGACATCACTGACTAGTCTTGACCTAGGCTTAAATAACCTAACAATATTACCAGCTGACATATTCAATAGCTTGACATCACTGACTACTCTTGACATTCGCTATAGTAAACTAACAACATCACCAGATGGTATATTCAATAGCTTGACATCACTGACAGAACTTCACCTTAGTAGGAATGATCTAACAATATTACCTGTTGACATATTCAATAGCTTGATATCACTGACTACTCTTGACCTTTGTTATAATAAACTAACAACATTACCAGATGGCATATTCAATAGCTTGACATCGTTGACTACTCTTGACCTTCGCTATAATGAACTAACAACATTATCATTTAACATATTCAATAACTTGACATCACTGACAACTCTTGACCTTTGCTATAATAAAATAACAGCATTTCCAAATGGAATATTCAGTAGCTTGACATCACTGATTACTCTTGACATTTGCTATAATGACCTAATAACAACATTACCAGATGGCATATTCAATAGCTTGTCATCACTTCTTACTCTTGACCTTCGCCATAGTCTTTACCCTGCCTATAATGAATTTTCACACTTATCAGTTAACATATTCAATAACTTGACATCACTGACTACTCTTAATATTTCAAAAAATTATCTAAAAATATTTCCAGATGGCATATTCAATAGCTCAAGATCACTGACTACTCTTGTCCTTAGCTCTAATGATTTAAGAAGATTAATACCAGCTCACATATTCAACGGCTTGACATCATTGGCTACTCTTGACCTTAGCTTTGTAGGTATTTATGCATTACTAGGTGGAACATTCAATAGCTTGACATCACTGACTACTCTTGACCTTCGCTACAATACACTACGAATATTACCAGATGGCATATTCAATAGCTTGACATCATTGACTACTCTTAACCTAGACAATAATTGGCTAGAAACATTACCATATGGCATATTCAATAACTTGACATCACTAACTACTCTCAGCCTTTACGAAAATTTTTCTCCACTATCATTACCAGTTGACATATTTGATAGCTTGACTTCATTGACCAGTCTTAACTTTCGCAAAACTACTCTAAGAACAACACCAGATGGAACATTCAATAGCTTGACATCACTGATTACTCTTGACCTTGTCTATACTAGAGTTAAATTATCAGTTGACATGTTCAATAACTTGACATCACTGACTACTCTTTACCTAGAAGATAATTGGCTAAAAACAATACCAGATGGCATATTCAATAGCTTGACATCACTGACAATTCTTGACCTTCGTTATAATAAACTAACAACATTACCAGTTCACATATTCAATAGCTTGACATCACTGACAATTCTTGACCTTCACGATAATGAGCTAACATCATTACCAGTTCACATATTTGATAGCTTGACATCTTTGACTGGTCTTAGCCTTGGCTCTAATCATTACCTAACAAAACTACCAGAAAACATATTCAGTAAGTTAACACAATTGGCCAGGCTTTACCTTGGTGGTAACAGACTAACAATATTACCAGATGATATATTCAGTGACTTGACATCATTGACCACTCTTGACCTTGGCTATAACAAACTGACAACATTACCAGAAAACATATTCAGTACCTTGACATCACTGACCTATCTTGACCTTTCCTCTAATAAACTAACAACATTACCAGATGGGATTTTTAGAAAACTGACATCACTTACCAGTCTTGACCTTAAGTACAATAAACTAACAACATTACCAGATGGCATATCTAGTAGCTTGACATCAATGTTAAAACTTGACCTTGGTTCAAGGGACATCACAATATTACAGGTTACAACAGATGGCATATTTAGAGGCTTGTCATCACTGACAAGTCTTTCCCTTGTCTTTAATGACACAACATTACCAGAAGGGATATTCAGTGACTTGACATCATTGACTACTCTTAACCTTGGCTCTAACAAACTGACAACATTGCCAGATTGCATATTCAGTAACTTAGCATCACTAAAATACCTTTCCCTCCATCAAAATAGACTAACAATATTACAAGATGGCATATTCAGTAACTTAACATCACTGACAACACTTGACCTTAGTTTTAACAAAATATTAAATCGTTATCAACTACAAACTTTGCAATTATCAGATGGGACATTCTGTAACTTGACGTCATTGACCAGACTTTACCTTGACAATAATGAGCTAATAACTTTACCAAATGGCATATTCAGCAGCTTGACATCATTGAGATATCTGGACTTACGAAATAATAAACTTCAATTAGTCCCATTTGATATATGTTTGTATATGCCAATGCTGACAAGGTTATATTTATATGACAATTACATAACTCAAAAACTGCCACCAGGGTACGCATATAATGTTACTTCAATAAGGGCTAGTGATTTCTGTATAAGCGTAAGATCTTTGGCTAACTCAACAATAACAGCCACACCTTGCAAACCACAGTCATCTATGCATGAAACAGAACAGCAATCTACCCAAACAACACAATCTACTCAAGCAATACAACCATGTCCCCAAGCAATGCAACCATTTACCCAAGCAATACAGCAATCTACCCAAGCAATACAACCATCTACCCAAGTAATACAACCATCTACACAAGCGATACAACCATCAACACTAGCAATACAACCATCTACAAAAACAAACAACTCTTTAGTCATTGGCTTGGCAGTTGGAATTCCACTTTCAATTTTGTTGATTACTGTTGTAGCTGTAGTAATAGTATGTCTTAAAAAGCGCAGTGGATCATCATATGAGGTACATCTTGATGATACACATACAAATGTGATACATAATAGTGCTTCATTAACTGAAATATCATTCATTAGTAATGAGACTGAACCAGTTGCTGCATATATGAATCCAACTTTTGAAAATTAAACTGATGACAATATACATCCTGCTTTTAAGCCTCAGTCACATTTGCTCTCCAGTGGCCATAGGTTCACAAAAGCAATATAGAAGATCTATATCATACTGTTATCCTTATATCTTATGCTGCATATTTATCTTGATTTGAGGGAGTTACAGTCTTCGTATGGTTGTCATAGATTAAATGTGACTGAGGAATTAATGAAAGAGGATAAAACTATAATGTAATGGGTACTATTTGCTATAAGCAGACTATCTGCATAATCTCTCCATATAAATGGAATTTTTTAAACATATGAAAAGGAATAACTGAAAAACTTATTAAAGTTATTGCATCTTGTTTTTTCCTGCATCTGATGGAGATGCATAAATAATGAAAAACAAAGAAATTCAATATATAGATATGTGAAATAAAAAAACATGATCAAAATAAAATGAAATTCAATATCAAGGTATGTGAAACCAGAAAATAATCAAAATAAAATATTAACAACATTATTATCAAGACCCAATGATAAAGAGAGTGTGTCTGATATACTCTTCTAAGGCTTATATGTATACTCAATATCAACATATTATTTTCATAAAAGATCGAACAGTTGTTTTGTTATATATAAATATGTAATTCACTTGATTGTATATGTATAATAAAAATATAGGTTTAACTAAATAATAATTGCAAAGATAGAAAAAATCATGGCAAATGTGAACATCTTTTTCCTTTGAATATTTATTTTACATGACTGTATTATATTTGATTACAGCTATTTTTCTCAAATTGTACATACAAAGAAAACTTGTATCTATATTAAAGTATAATTTACAAGACTGTATTATAATCACAAGTAACAAATATGTTTCTCATTGGACACTACAAAGAAAGCTTGTAATTATTTGAAAAGTATAATTTACAAGACTGTATTATATTCATAAATAGCAAATATTTTTCTCATTTGACGAAAGTTTCTCATTTGAAGTAAGTTTGAAGGAAGTTTGTATTTTATATAAAGATTGTTTAATTTACATTGCTGTATTTTGCACAAAAAGCAAATATATTTCTTGTCATTGCAAATCACTTTTATATATTCAATTCATATGATTGATAAAATATTTTTCGAATAAACGTTAAAAGGAATTTTGTAATAAATGTTTTTTAGCATAATGTATGCGGATGTATTATGTTTGCAAAGAAAATACTAGAAAAAATTTATTCAGAAGATAAAATTCTTATATTTGCATACTTTAATCATTATGTACATAAATTAAGCCATAAAACATTCAAACTTTATATTTGTATAATACACATATTGGATATGTCTTGTACATTCAAAAGGTAATCTTGCATCTTATTAAAATAATGTAAATAATGTATAGGAAATATATACACTAAGTAAATAATCCACTTAAGTAATAATAAATTCATATACAAGCATTCATATACTTCTGTTTTATTGATGGAATTTATTACAAAGTATCAACATTTAATAGATTTTGAAGATGTTCATATTTGAAGATCAAAATGATGCAATATCCTTCCCTTCACTATTATGCAAAAATAAATGTGAGCTCTACTTTGAAAATTTGGCTTTTTATTGAATATTTGGGTCAATATTATATTTATAACTAATTAAGGCTGCATCCAGATATACTGTAAGCAAAGACAATCTCATCTAATCAAATCCACTCCAGCCAAATCTAATCTTGAACGGTTGTATTTTACATTGAGCTTCATCATCATTGTTATATTGGTTAAAGTTGTAATCATGTTAAGTGGAAGATTGAAGCATTGGTCAGAAACACAGAATAATAGAGATCCACTAGTTTAGAGATATTCAATCATTGTACTGTACTGGAATTAAGGTTAAAGGTTTGCAATTGTCTGCATGGAGGACATCAACAACAACGCCAAAGTGTAGCAAATCCCATTGAACAGCCATGGCTGCCATTTTTACAAATGAAGTATATCGCAAAATTCATAAAATAATACACAAAAAATGGCTACCATTTTCAAAATGCACTTGCCAAATTGTCATCAGAAAGTGTAATATGCTTCTTAGGGTTCCTAGTCAACTCAGACCCTAAATAACTCTGACCCTACAGAGGCGTAGCTAGCCCATTTTGCGAGTGTACGCCCGTATGATTTCCCGGTTTTATCAAAATTAACAAAACGATGGTTCCATAAAATAGGAAGATCCCGGGTGTTCAGAAGATAGGGGACACACTAAACACTCTTAATTCAATGAAGGAAATATGTATTGTTTGATCATTTTGACATAGCTTTTTAAAGGGATTGAATTTACTGTATTAACAGATAATATTCGGGAAACAAAATAGACAGATTCTATATAATCATGCCATCGACGATCGAAGCCGTCTATCAAGGCGATTTTATTTTTTACGCTACATAAAACTGTATGTATGAGGCTCATTGTTTTAAGC